AACCACTCAGAAAACCAGTAGTGGCACTATGGCTCAAAGTGGTAGAGTGCTAGCCTTGAGCAAAAGAGGAGGGATAGCGCCCAGGCCCTGAATTCAAGCCCTACAACTCACCAAAAAAAAAAAAAAATTGTCAAATAGAATGTCAGTACAGGGAAGAATGTATTGGAGGACATGGTGGTGAAGGTAGAATTTATAAGAAGCATAATGGCAATAATAGTAGCAATTGGTACTGTTTATCAAGTCCCCATTGTTAAGCTCCATGAGTAAAGGGATTTTGTTTTACTGTTAAGTATATTTCCAAAGGCTGTGTGTGTGTGTGTATGTGTGTGTGTGTGTGTATCAAAAAGGAACTGAGGGCTGGGAAGGTGGCTCAGTGGCAGAGCTCTTGTCTTGCATGCATGAGGCCTTGGGTTCGATTCCTCAGCACCACATAAGCAAAAAGGAAAAAGCCGGAAGTGGCGCTGTGGCTCAAGTGGTAGAGTGCTAGCCTTGAGCTGAAGAGTTGAGGGACAGTGCCCAGGTCCAGAGTTCAGGCCCCACGACCGGACCCCCCCCAAAAAAGGAACTGATTCTCAAATGCTATTTGAGTGAAGAAAAGAATAATGGATAAATGTCCAGAGTTCCAATTCCAGTACAGTGAAAAAAGAAAAGAAAAGAAAACCACCCAAACAATGAATGCTTTGTACTTTGCAGTGTTCTAAGTGCCTTCCACTGCTTCCTTCACTGTGTGTATATGTTTGGTGCTGATGACACAAACGAATTAGACATAGTCAGTATGAAAAGAAGTGCCCCCCCCCGCCCCCCGTCATAAGCCTTGAACTGAGGGTCTGGGTGCTGTCCCTGAGCTCTTTTGCTCATTGCTAGGGCTCTACCACTTTGAGCCACAGCTCTACTTCTGGTTTTCTGGTGGTTCATTGGAGATAAGACTCTCACAAACTTTCCTGCCTGGGCTGGCTTTGAACTATGATCCTCAGATCTCAGCCTCCTGAGTAGCTAGGATTACAGGCGTGAGCCACCAGTGCCCTGTGCTTTTGTAGATGTTGTTCTAGTCCTAGCAGTTGAATTCAGGAACTGGCCACTTGAGCAAACAAGCACAAGGTTGGTGCTCTACCACTTGAGCCACAGATCCACTTTCAGCTTTTTTGCTATCTAGTTGGAAATAAGAATCTTGTAAGCTTTCCTGCTAGGGCTAGCTTCAAGCCATGAGCCTCTAGGAGTCAGCATCCCAAATAACTAGGATGATAGGCACGATCCACTTGTGGTACTGGGGATGAATCTGGGGTCTTGCACATGCTAGACAAGTACTCTACCTGGAACCAACCTCTGTACAGAGTTTATACACAAGATATATTTGTTTGAATAGGTGTGGCATAAGGATACAGAAGACAGCTAGTAAGTGAAATCTGGATTGATATCTTGCTGATTTTTCCAATAATCTTTGGTGAGTTTTAACTTAGTTGCTAGCTTTGAAAAACCGAGAAATTTCAAAAACCCTTGTAAGTCGGGTGTGTGTGTGTGTGTGTGTGTGTGTGTGTGTGTGTGGTTATGATCCTAGAGTTGAACACAGGCCAAGGTGCTGTCCCTAAGCTACTTCTGCTGCTTTTTCTTCTTTCTTCCTCTTCTCAAGGCTAGCACTCTACCACTTGAACCAAAAGAATCTCACAGACCTTCCAGCCAGGGCTGGCTGTGATCCTCAGATCTCAGCCTCCTGGTGATGCTAGAATTGCAGATGTGAGCCGGCACAGGTGGCTCACGCCTGTAATCCTAGCTATTCAGGAGGCCAAGATCTGAGGATCATGGTTCAAAGCCAGCCCAGGCAGGAAAAGCGTGAGTCTCTAATCTCCAATAAACCACCAGAAAAACAGAAGTGGTGCTGTGGTTCAAGTGATAAAGTGCTAGCCTTGAGCTGAAGAGCTAAGGGACAATGCCCAGGACCAGAGTTCAAGCCCCATGACGGACCCCCCCCCCAAAAAAGAGAATTGCAGATGGGTACCCTTTGAGAGAATGAACGTGTTCTGGAACTAGCTGTGGCAATAGTCATACCATATATTATGTTTGTAGCCGATTGCACCCTGACATGGAGAAATGGTACATTAAAAAAAAAAAACATAATAAATAATGTAAAAAAAAAGTGCCATTTGAAGGGTTAAGTAGCTTGACAACCTTGTGTTCTACCACAGCCTTCCATCCATTTGGGGCATTCAGAGAACTGAGAGTTCCACCCAGGAGTGTTTAGAAGTGCAGGGGGAGGGGGAGAAGGCAGTCGGGCCATCTGAAAAGTTTCCCTTCTGGATGATATTTGTTTCGTGTAGATTACCAGTTGTTCACCCTGTTTGTATTTAAATGAAAGGAGGCTTTGAAGTGGAAGCCGCCTCTGAACAGGCCTTGGGGTTCCTGCCTCCGATGGTAAAGTTCAGACTTGTTCAGATCTGTTTGTAGCCAGAGGTAGCTGTTTCTGGTGGAAAAGCCTCCAGTTTTGGTTAATAAGACATTCAGAGGCAGAGCAGGAGTAACTTGGAGGCTGGTGGAGGGGGGAGTAAGTAGACCCCTTTGGGTTTGGTGGGAGAGGCGACTTTCCAATTTGGCCCTTACAGTTGAGGCTATCTTTTATGGTTTCTTAGAGCCACTGCATTTCATTTTCTTCTTCATGTTGGTTTCATCATGGATCTTATTCTCCTTGGGAAAGGGGATCTGGAAGTAAATAAGGTGATGATACCCCAAGGACTGGGCTATGCCGCCAGGACCTCATGATTTATCAGCAGTTTAAGGATAAACATGGGCTATTTGAAGGTTTCTTGAAAGATGGCAGGGAATTCAGTGGCAGTTGAGTTTTCCTATGGAGAAACATTGCTGTCTTTGTCTCCGAGTTCCATGCTTTGCCAATGCGACTGAAAATGGACAGGACAGCAGCACTAGGTCTAAAGCAGGTCGCCATCCATCTATCTGCCTGTTTCTGCTGCTGATTGATCTTCAAGCATCTCGCCAATGCTGAGGGGTCTATGAGCCTTCCTTCCCAACAACAGCTGCTGCTTTGTACAGTTCCCCAGCACCAACCCTGTCAGTGTTATTTACAAACAACAGTGGAGGAAGTTCTCAACCAGCTCTCAGAGGGTGATAATTGTAATGATGGTTCATATCTTCACCCTATGTAATTTTATGGGAATTGAGAGTCTAGCCAAATAATAAGTTCCAGTGCTTTTTATCTGCCTGGTTCCCAGCACTGACCACCTTAATGACACAATTCCTAATCTGTGGCCTTCATTCAGGAAGCTCTTGGAGCTTCCAAAACACTCCCTAATGGAATGTGACAAAGGTTCCAAGAAGAGAAGAGTTGCCCATTCCCAGTTTTGGGGTGGCTAAGTGGGAGTGTGGGTCCTCAAAGGGCGTCAGTGTGTCTCAGGAGACTTGGGGAACAAGGAGGGTTGATCGATTGTCCAGGGTTATTGCTGTGGCAAGGAGTTGAAGAATCGTGGGTTCTGGACACCACCTATACTATTTGCCAGTGGCTTTCTTTCCTTCTCTGGAGACCCAGTGGCTGTCCACAAGGCTAGGTTCAAAAGGTCTCCAGGGTCTCTCCCAATCAATTCTCCTGGAGGTTGGGGTTGTTTCTCTTGCTTCGGGGGTTCGCTGGGACTATTTGCAGAGTAGGGCTCAAGTGTGTTGGGTGAGTTTGATGAAGGACCTGGCAGCAGGTGTGTGTGTGTGTGTGTGTGTGTGTGTGTGTGTGTGTGTGTGTGTGAAGTTGGTACAGCCCCCTCTGATGGGAAGCAAGTGTTAGACTCGGCAGGTGGGCCTGGGGGGTTATCAGGTGAATAACGTGGGTGCTTTTCTCCCTTAGTCCAGGTGTGTCTTCTCCAGATGCAGGACGGCAGCGGTGTGTGTTGGGGTGAGGGGCGGGGGTATCTTGGCTAGAGCGCTGGACGTGGCTTTGGATGGTGGACAGTAGATCAGGTGTCTTCATGGAGGCGCTAAGGACTAAGTCGTGGGCCCAAGGACAAGTCCCAGGCTGCCTGCTTTCCCCTGGGACTTGGGCCCTGAAGCCCAGAAAAACTGGCCTCGCTTCCCTAGGTGGAAAGGGGAGGGGGAGGACGACGAAGGGCGGCGAGACGATTGCCCGCCTCCCAGGAGGAGGGAGGAGCCCGACAGGGCGTGTCCCACGAGGGAGCGCCCGGTGCCCCGGTCCGGAGAACCCCCCCTTCCCTCCTAGGAAGTGGATTTGGCTGTTCCGGATCCATACCCAGCTTCCAGGTTTTCTCCCGGGCCGGGGCCTGCGTGCTCCCGCCTGTCTCCAGCCCTCTTCCCCCCCCCCCCCCCCCCGCCCTTCCCCGGCTGCCCGCCCCCCTCCCACCCCCCACCCCTGTGCCGCCCCGCTTGGCCAAGTTTGTGGAGCGTCGCCGCGCAAGCCGGCCAGTCAATCAGCGGCGGAGCTGAGAAGGGCACAGCCCCAGGGCTGAGGGCAGACTAAAGCCGAGCCCAGCCGACTCCGGCGGAGCTGAGCTGAGTGCGGCGAACGGGGGAACCAGCGCCCAAGGGGGGCGACCGGAGCAGCCACGCCATCCCGAACGCCCATCGGACATCGCCCACACCGGTCCGCGATCTTGCGGGGCGAGCCTGCCACCTTCCCTTCCCTCTTCGCGTCCCTGCCCACAGCCGGGCAAGCCAGCTGGCCCCGATCGATCGCTGCCCCGTGGAACCCCGAGGTCATCGCGGCCAGTGTGCGGCTCTGCTCCGTTGGGCTTGCGCGCTGCTTCCACACCGTCCTCCACCTTTCCAGTCGGGCGCCTTGGCACCCAAGGACCGTTGCCTGATCGAGGCCCCGCTGTACTTTTTTTTTTTTGCCCCTCATCTTCTCCTCCAGCAACTCCAACTCCGATCCCGCGCCCCTGCCTCCCTCGGCCCGCTCGGGTGCGTTGCTTCCTAGATTCCCGACCCCTCCTCCCCTTCCCCAGCCGCCGTGTGATAGCGTCCCAAAGGTGGGAGCGCGTCTGTGCACCCCGGCTCGCACCATGGCACGAGTCGCCTTGCCCGCGCTTCTTTGCACCCTCGCTGTGCTGAGCGCCACTCTCCTGGCTGCCGAGCTCAAGTCGAAAAGTTGCTCGGAAGTGCGACGTCTCTACGTGGCCAAGGGCTTCAACAAGAACGATGCCCCCCTCCACGAGATCAACGGTAGGTTTGGAGAGACACCCCCATCCCGGGAGGTGGGCACGGACAGGGCCAACTTCTCGCTGCCCCTACATCGGACCGGGTAGCCGAGAGGCACAAATAGGCAAGAGAAAGAAAGCGATCGAAAAGCAGCCCCAAGTTGAGGTGGGGAGGGCACTGGATGTGCGCTGCGGGTGCCGCGCGGTCCTGGCCAGTGGGAGGAAGAGGGGGGGTGCTGCAACTTTGCGGGGTTACCCAGTGCCACTCCGGTGCTCTATTCCCGCCCCCCCTCCATCCCCCTTGAGGTCCTAAAAAGCGACGGAGGACTCCGGGCCCTCCAAGTGCCTGTCATCAGGCTCCCTTGCTTTTTCCGGGTTGAACTTAACTGGGCGCCCGGCTTTGTTGTATGGGCGACTGAAGATAGAGGGTAGCGGTGGGATTACCGGGAAGTGGGTGTGCGGGGGGAACCTCAGGGAGTTTGCAGACTGGGGAGGGGGGACTTGCAAAATGTGCAGTTGAAATTGATGTCTTCTTGATATGCTTTTAATACACTCTTCCCCCTTCTCCCCTACCTCTCTTCCACTGCTTACACGGATTAAGAGTTTGAGTAGCTGCAAGGGCTTTAGAAGTCCCTTAAACACACACACAGACACACACAGACACACAGACACACAGACACACACACACACACACACACACACACACACACACACACTTCCCGAAAGCCTGCCTCTCGTTGCTCCCACTCTCACCAAAGCCTCACTTTTTGGAAACTCTTGCTTTCTGCAACGGTTGGAACCGAGTGGTATCTTCCCCGACCTCCTTTTTCTTTTCTTTTCTTTTCTTTCTTTTTTTTCTCACCTCATTTTAAGGGTTAATTGCACATTCAATTACAGCCCTTTGAAAGAACTGATTACGGGAAACCTCACTCTTAGTTTGGAGATGGTTATGTAAATGAAGAAGGCTTTGCCTCTGAAAAAGTTTTTTTGGGGGGGTTTGATGCGGGGAGGGTTACTTGGGGGTATTTGTGAATGCCCTTCTTGCAACCTGAGTAGGGAGGGGATGGGACGACTCCTCGATCCCTTGTCGATCCCTTGTTGCTAGAGCTGCAGACATTGGGACAAATCCACAACTGCTTGGTTTCGCTCCTTTGCTCTGGCCAACTGTTGCGCCGCAGCTCTGTCGACTGGGCTCTCACCCCCTCCCCCCAAGACCATTCAGGTAGCCTGTTGGCCCCCGGGGCTCAAAAAGAGCCTGGATCTAGCTGGCGGGAAGCCAGCTCACTCTAACCGGGGAGTGAAAGATTCAAGCTCCTGAGGCCAAGCCTCCATTCCACACCTTTCATGGAAGAGAGCAAGCTGCGTGAGTCTTTGCCTGGCTGTACTGGGTGCACGGGTGGGGCCGGCAGCCCCTAGGCAGCCAGCAAAGGAAATATAGTAATTTTAACCAGGCACTTCCAAAGGTTTAGAAAGACTTGGAGAAGGAAAGAGGGGGAGGCACTTTTTGGGGGGAGGGCGGGAGGAAAGGACTATTAATACCGTGGGAGATTAACTGCAGTCATCAATCCCATGGAAATCACAAAGGTAATTGAGGGAAGTTGCTGGGCTCTTTCGGAGTGTAACTGGCATGTGTCTAGAAATAGAGTAGTCCAGGCGTCCATTGCACCTTGCCGGTTATCAAATAACTCGCACGCTACTGATTAAAGTCTGTTTGCCCTTCAGCTGCCTGTCTTTGGGGAACTCAAGTATGTCCTCACAGCTGCAGGGTTTTATTGGCTGTAGAGCCCTGAAAAGCCCTTTCTTTTCCTCTCTTCCTCTCCCCCAGCCAGAAAAAGTAAAGGAAACCATCAGCTACTGAAGCTTGAGGGCTCTAGCAGGTCAGATTGGGGGTGTGGATCCCGGGGGTGTCTTTGGGGACATGGGTGTCTTTGTGCCCCGCACAGTTTGGGCCTGAGTGCCCCACAGATGATTGGCGTGAAGGTTACAATTGTCATTCCCACGTTTTGAAGCGATCCATACAACTATGCACTTAACTGGGAGACTGACAAGTTTTCCTCTTCTGCTCATGCACACAATTTGTGCCTTTCACATAGACTGAAGGCATTGAGGGAGTGGGTGGGGAAATCCTGCCTGCCCCCTCTCCCCCCACCTACCACCCACTCTCTCTTCATTTTGCTCCTTGCCTTCCCTAGAAATGGCAGGATGGCTTTGAGGCGTTGGCTTCTGAAAATCTCAACGCCAAGGAAAGCAGGGAAGGTGCTCAGTCAGGGACCTCACAGTCTAGGTGTTCACATTATCATCATCCCCTCCCCCACCAAAAAATACCCACCTGAGAGGCCAATTTGCATACATGTCAATCATCTAGGCCCCTTCCCCAAAGATGGGGAGGGGGCATTATTAGTAACCAGCCACAGGAAATGGAAGCTAATGTGCTCACACCCAAAACATTTGATTCTTTTTGTCTTGTCCTTCATCTCCCTCCCAGGGCTGCTGCTTTTATTTCCCCCTTTCAATGACCTACTGGACAGCATTCTCCTGAGGAACAAAGGAAGTGCCTTTTTAGCTCGAATCCCTGGAAGACCACCAGGGACTTGAGCTCATGCAGTGCAATTTTGCACCACTTTCAACAATAACAAAAATGCATGACTGAATGGCTCAAAAATGTGGAGTGTTAGAGGCATTCATTTGAGTGTAGGACACTGTCACAACACCCAAGCAAATACCTTTAGACGGCCAGTGGAGAACCAAGGGTAATCTTTATCATGGCTCCATTCTCACCAGAGGCCTACAGCAGCCTCATCTTCTCTAGACTCCACTCAGAGAATTTTGGTCATTTGGGGGAGCCTGGTGGAAACAGTGACTGTATACAGTCTAGGTCTGAATGAACCAGTTGTCAGGCCCTTTTCCCGAGGAGAGGGTTATTATATATTATGTATGTGTATATATTATATATACAAATACATGCATATATTATGAAATAGAAATGTATTAATTATGCAATAGTATATTGTACATGCATGCTATATATTACTATATTAATATATTATACATATAGCGTACAATGTTTACATGTTATATATTATAGCATATAGTATATTAATATATATGTGTATATTTGTCAACTTTATTTTTGGTCAATCATGGGGCTTAAACTCTGGGCCTGAGTGCTGTCCCTGAGCTCTTCAGCTCAAAAGCAAGTGCTCTACCACTTGAGCCACAGTGCCACTTCCATATGTGTGTATTTGTATATACACAAAATGCATGTTTATTTTTCAATACAAAGCATTAAGGATTAACTTTTTTTTAAGGCAAAGAGTCACAATGTCTGATTGCCTAGTTTATTGAGCCCTATGCTTAGTCCAAGTTTAAGGTTTTATTCTGTGTGTGTGTGTGTGTGTGTGTTCTTGGGCTTGAATTTAGGGCCCAGGTGCTGTTCCTGAGCTCTTTTGCTCAAGGCTAGTGCTCTACCACTTTGAGCCACAGCGCCACTTCTTGATTAAAAGTCCATGAGACTTTCCTACCTAGACTGGCTTCAAACTCCAGTCCTCAGCCTACTGAGTAGTTTAGGATTACAGGTGTGAGACACCAGTGCCTGGCTTAATGTTTTATTCCTTTCTTTGTTAAAACAACAAGAACAACAACTTAACTCAACCTTGTTTTGATTTCCTGGAATTCATTTTGATAAATACTTTTATATGATCCTAGGCACAGAGGCATTGTGCCTTTGTGTTTCTCCCCTAAGAGTAACTTGCTTGGGTCTCACTGCCAAGGTTTTGTTCTTGATGGTTTTATACTGGCTTTGTAGAACTTTGAACAGGCTTTAAGAAGACCTCATGGCCAGAAGAAGTCTCATTCATACATTATCTGATGAGCTCCCCATGATGTGACTTAGTAATAAGTGTATTAGGCAGACAGTGCTTTCAAACGAGATCTTGCAGTGCCCGTTGGTTTGACTCCTATACTTCTCAAATAATGGGGAACCCAGAGACCACGATCTTTAAGATGAAGCATACATTTTTGTCTAACTTGCATTACCTATATGTTTTTTGGAGTGCCTACTATGCATAGTCCTTGTTTTGCATCATTAAGGCATCAAGAAGGACAGGAGGGGCCTCCCTCCCCCCCACCAGGCCTGGTGTTAGGGAGATAAGACATGCACACACATAATTGGAATACGCCAAAGGGTGTGATGAATACCGTAAGAGATGAGGGACAATGACAGCCCTGTACTGTGAAGTACATTAGAGCAGGCAGGAGGCCCTGGGTTCGATCTCCAGCACACACACACACACACACATACACACACACATTCACTCAAACACTCCCAAAACACAAGGGGCAGAGATTTGGGACTAGAATCTTAAGAAGGCAATAGTAGTTCATTAGGTAAAAAAAATATTTCTATAAGTATAAAAATCTGTTTTCCTTGAGGCTAAGAAGTATACAATAATTTCCTCTCTGTGTGTGTGTATGTGTGTGCGTGTGTGTGTGTGTGTGTGTGTGTGTGTGTGTGTGTGTGTGTGCATGCACGTGTGCACTGGTCTTGGGGCTTGAACTCAGGGCCTGGGTGCTACTCCTTAGCTTTTACACTCAAAACTAGCACTGTTGTACCATTTGAGCCACAGCTCATTTCCAGCTTTTTGGTGGTTAATGGGAGATAACAGTTTCATAGACGTTCCTGCCTAGCCTGGCTTTGAACTGTGATCCTCAGATTGCAACCTCCTGAGTACTTAGGATTAAAGGTAGGAGCCACTGGTGCCCTGCTTGAGTTTTTGTTTCTTATTTTCATTTATGTATATAAGCTATGTTCATGTGAGCATTTTCCTGTTAGACACACACGTGTATATGTGTATTCCTCAAAGAGGTCTGGGAGCTGGGCACTGGTGGCTCATGTCTGTAATCCTAGCTACTCAGGAGGCTGAGATCTGAGGATCACGGTTCAAAGCCAGCTCGGGCAGGAGAGACTGTGAGATTCTTATCTCCAATAAACCACCAGAAAATCGGAAGTGGCACTGTAGCTCAAGT